GCCTCAGCCTCCTGAGTGCTGGGATTACAGGCATGCACCACCATGCCCTGCTTGAGATTCCATCTCACTCCAGAAAGAATCGCTATTTTCAAGAAATCAACCAAAAACAAATGCTGGAGGGGCTGTGGGAAAAAAGGGAACCTTTCTTCACTGGTGTTGGAAAGGCAGACTGGTGCAAACTGTGGAAATCAGTGTGCAGATTTCTCAAAAAACTAGCACTAGAAGTTCCCTTTGACCCAGCCATTCCCCTTCTTGGTATCTTCCCAAAAAAATTAAAGGCATCACAGCAATATATGCATATCCATGTTTACAGTGCCACAGTTTGTTATAACCAAATCTTGGAAACAACCCAAATCCCATCAACTGATGAATGGATAAAAATGGCATGGGCTTTTTTGTATAATGGAGTACTACCTAGCCATAAAGAAGGATAAACTTGAAACATTTATAGCTAAATGGATGGACTTTGAAACCATACTCTTAAGTGAAATATATCACACACATGTGTGTAAATATCACCTTGTCTCTTTGGTGTGAGAAACTAAAAGTGTAAATAAGCACCAAAATGTATAATAAATATTGTAAAATAGGAAGAAATTGTTCAAAAGGAAAGGGGAACTAAGGAGGGAGAGGGGGAAAGGAAGGAAGGTAAAAGAAAAATGGAGAAAAGAAGGCTAAAATGGAAACAAAGCTTTGTAAATGAGAAGAGGAGGGGTTGAAGGGAGGGGAGGGTAATGGGGCAAAAAGGAGAATCAAGATAAATCATGTATAGGTACAAATTCCCGTTGATGACTGTGATCATTATGTATACCTTAATTGTACCAATAAAATTAATTTTAAAAAAGGAAAAGAAAAAAGAATGGCAAGCTGGGTCACAAATAAGGATTTATAATGTTTAAAGTGCATTATTAAAAACAACAGGTACAAGGGCAAGATACTTTCTGTATGAGTTAATTCCTAATTTAGTATTTTACACATCTTGGGTATTCAAACAACTCATATCCACAAATTAACACTTGTACATTAATTGTCAATATAGCAGTTAGAAAGAATGTGCTGGAATATAGGTCTGTAAGCCATGAAATTACTTAGGGTTTCTGCTAACAAAGAGAATTTAAGAGGTCAAAAGAAACCTATATTTCAAGGTTAAATCTTCAAGATGAGGGTTAAAGTTTTGCTAGTTCAATTCTAATCCAACTCTAATTCATCAGGTCTTTCTATCCATCTGTTTCTAGCTGTCACCAGCTCTTATAGAGAAAAGCTCAAAGAGTAAATTCCATGTGTTTTCCTTTTCATTGTGCAAGGGTGGGACATGGGGGCTGGGGAAGAAGAGGAGGATTGTGGGGATCAGTGATTCAATACATATCGAGTTTACTCCCTAGAAAGGCTTGCCTCCCTTACCCATGGGCTAATTTCTTTATTGAAACATAATATTTATCCATCTTGAGGGGTGTATTATGTTATTTTGATACATACATTTTGTGTAATAATCAAATCAGTGTAATAAGCATTTCCATCTCTTCAAACATTAATTATTTTACATGTTGGGAATTTGGTACTTTTCTAGTCATTTTGAAATATATCATAGAGCAATTTGACCTATGGTCACTCTACTGTACTGCAGAAGAAGCAGACGTAGCCTCTCCAGAACTTCTTTCTGTTCCCCCTCCCCTTCCCAGTCTCCAGTGACCACTGTTCCATTCCAACTTTACTAACCTTTAAATCTCCCATCCATATCCCTCCCACAGATCCCAAACACTCTGTCTTGTGTGTCTCCCTGTCTATATATCTTGTTCTTGACAAGTGTTTACCCTTCAATGTTAACTTCAGGATCACAGAGTATATGCGTCCTTTGAAGGTCTGGAGAAAGGCTGCATATGTAATTTACAATATCCATGCGATATCAAAATGTGGGATGGGAATTCTTCAGAAAGGATTTAGAACCTCAGGACCATGATAGCAGAGCAAGGAAATCAAATTTGGAGCCCTTCTGAGCACAGGGTGCTGGGCAGGGACACAAGTCACAAGCCCGCACTGTGTCTGAGTACTAGGGGACTAGTTCTCATGCATTTCTATGCCCACTCGTTTCCAACCCCTGGACGCTGATGAACAAATTATAAAACATGTACCTTTTTCTCGACCCCAGCCGGAAATGATGCAAGTGTCCTTAGGTTGGAATAGAAACGGAGACCAGGGGACACAGGCAGGGATGGAATTAGAGAACATGCATTCTTTCTGGTTGAAATGTTTTTTCATTTCAATCAAAGCAATGTCATTTTGATAGGTAGTTCCGTTGTAGGCTTCGTGGACAATAACTCTTTCCACTCTTTCAACAATTACTTCAGAGTTAGGTTTTATCCAGTCTATGAGTGATGTCCATATTTGGTAATGGTGAGCTTTACTAGGTCTATAACCGAAAGGGAAAGAGAAACAGAAAGAAACATATAAACATGGAATTCTAACTCTTTGCATTCTCCCCTTTAAAAGATCTCTGCATATCCCCAGATTTTATTTTTAATCCTTGCTGTCATGGAGGTTAAATCTACTTATGGAAGACTTAAGTCAATGGTAAATGAAGAAAGGAATAACCCATCTAACTGGTTGATACCAGGAAGATAAAGAAGCCACTGACAACCAGAGATGCCCAAAGCGGTGTGTCCTTGCTGCTATGGGAGTAAATGCATTGTCACTGTAGATGTCCACACAGTGACCAGGCAGCACCTTATCAGAGATGTGGTTGAGGACCCGGAGAATTTCATGCCTGTTCCAGTTCCTCAGGTTCTCTGGGAAAGGGTACTACAGTAGTTTCTAGCCTGACCCTTGACATTGATGGAGTCCTACAGGCCTTTTCTCCTGCTAGACTCTGCTACTGGAAATCAGATATGGGGTTTGTTATGGTTCAGATCTAAAACATCCCCCAAAGTGATCCACGTTAGGAAGGCGTTAGGTCGTGGGGGCACTATACTCATAGGTGAGTTCATCCATGGATGAGTTCATGGCTAAAGGTGCTGCTAGTTGGTGCAGGCTGGATGGAGGTGGGCCATCCAGGGTGTGACCTGGAAAGTGTGCCTTTGGCTCCTCCCTGCTTCCTGGCTGCCACAGGGTGAACAACTGTTCTCCACCAGGCCCTTCTGCCATGCTTGTTCTGCCTTGAAGTCAGATGACCATGGACTGAACCCACTGGAAACTGAATCAGATAAACCTCTCCTCCTTTAAATTGTAGGTGTTGAGTATTTTGTACCAGGGACAGGAAGACTAACACGGGCCTAACCAATCCATGTAGTCCTGGTGCCCAGTATTATGCCAAGAATACAGCAGGTGCTTTCATATCCTGTTAAAGCAGTGAGGAGCTAATTATTTTTCTCACACCTCACTCTACTTTCATACTAATTTTCAAATCATGGTTCAAGTAAATTGGCTCTCTACCATTATTTTATCAGGGAACAGTTTAGTGCCACTTTGGCAAAGTATCATAGCTTAGTTTTGCTTGTTGTCAGTTTTGTTTCATTTTTCACACAAGTAAGGTGCTAATAATTCCCTCTAGTTGTGCATTGATGGTAAACCTTTTAGAGTTTTCAATGCTATAAACATCCTGCTGTGGCACGTGTGCCGTACGTTCACCACCACTGCTCCAGCATTTCCAAACCATGGAGTATTTCATAAGATGAGTTTTCCATAAGAAACAAAACTTAAACAATTTCATGGAAATGTTTTAAAAATGTATTATCTATATACTTTTTGCTTTCTCAAGCAGTAGAAACTGAACAAAATAAACACAGATGTCCTAGGAGATAATGTAATATTTGGGTGCTTTTATTTATATGGTGTTTCAAGATTTCTGTATTTGATGTTGATTTTGGTTGCATTATATGATCAGAGGTCTGACTATTATTTAAACGTTAATTCTGTTTATTCATTCAATGTACTCAAGAAATATTTGTGTACATCTACTATATGCTAGGCACTGGTACTAGACTCAGGGTTGCAGAAAAAAGCAAAATCAGAAATCATTCCTACTTTCATAGAGCTCAGCAGATTCTGGGGTCTTGGACTCCAGGGTCCTGGCTGTGAATGCTAGAAAGTATTTCACCTTTACTAGAGTGCAACTTATGGTTTTTCAGATATGCCCCAACCAGCTACCACAGTCTGTTTTTCTCCTTCTCATTGTTTCAGGACATCTCAAACGTAGTGAAGACGCTTTTACCTGACACAGTGTGCAGCTGTCAGAACCCAGCAGCCACCGATATAAATTCCCCCACAGTTGATTTTATTCTCATCCTTGATTGCCACCTGCCATGGGAAGTCGCCCTGCGAAAGACATTCGTGTGGTCACTGCCTTTCTACCAGGTGGTCACCCACAGAGGTGGCCCTCAGATAGCCACACTGCCAGCCTCCCAGTCTCATCACCGCATCACCCCTCACCCTTGACTTTTTTTTACTTCAACTTTCCCCAGGAAGGGAGCCTTGGGGCTCTGCACCTAAGCTTACCGCTTGTGCGGGCTTCCCTCCCACAATTCGCTTCCGCCGAGTGTGCACAGGTCTTTTAACTCCACAGGATATTTTAGGTAATAAGGACTTTATCCGTTTTCTTTCTTCAAGAAAAGAAGAGATTGTATAATTATTTTGGACCCATTACCCACATCTTGATTATCTTTGCCACAAAAACAGCAGAGTCATAGTTAATACTAAACAGGACAGGTTCATTAATAAATTATTTCGGATGCTAAACTCTGCTGTTTACTTTGTTTAAAAATTCTGGCTTAGTACTAACACTGGCTTGAGTCTCTAAAGTTCTTCCTAAATGTGGACTTGGGGCAGAGGGAAACTGCCCAAGGGGTTAAGCACTTAGCAGCCTCTTGTAGATGAGCAGTGTCACAGTCCGGGGATTCCTACTGTGACAGTTCAGGCAGGGTAATGTTCTGAGAAGCTCAGAATAAGCTGACGACAGGAAAGATGGCATCTTTTTCACATATGTTTTACTCTCTAGTGATTTACGGGGATCTCTTTTCAATAATATCAATGTTAATATTATGATATGAGTATTGAGTTCTTTGTATGTAGCAGCTTCCATACTTACTCTCTGAGTTTATCTCACTTAATTATCATATGAAACCCAAGGTAATATTCCAGAAAACCCTGAACAGTTGGATCAGCAGCACACACCTGCCATTCAACACTGTCATGTACGTGTGTGTGTGTGTGTCCCCGTCTGTGAGCATGTGGACAGGGCGGATTGGTCACTGAGAAGATACGGGACAACAAGGCTTAAGACATGAACTTGTGGGAGAATTGATGGCAAAGGGAGAAAGTAAGAGCACAAGATACTCTCTTTATTCTATTTCCAATGCCATGGACATTTCTGTAAACCTGTTTCTTAGCCCCAAGTCAGAGAGGAGACTCTATTACTATCAGTCATCTGGGGCTCACCAGCAGGAATAGGTGAACCAGATAGGTTTTTTATCTCACCCCTCCTCAAAACTGGCTTAGGAGGAAGAATTAATGAAAGTCTTAAGTTTTGGCCTGGATCTTTGAAAGAAGAGAGGCCTCAACCATTGAGGACTAGGAGACCAGGCTGAGTAGTATCTGAAAATCAGCATTGCATAGAAAATAAAGGGCTTTTGTTGAAAACCGAGTGCTGGGATCACAGGCGTGCGCCACCACATCTGGCCTGTTGAAAATTCCTTTTGATTGGTATCTATAGCTTTGAGAGCTAAATCTTTCACTTATTGGTTAGTTAAAAAAAATTGTAATTAATTTTGGGGCCTGGAAATTACAAGTGACTCTTATATGAATTTCATTTTAAATACCTCTAAATTAGGGAGCTACTTTATTCCTAATTTGATGTTAAAATTTTCACTAAGGTTGTACGGCTACTAAATAATGGTATCAAGACAGCACAGCCTGTGTGGCCCAAACACTCTGATAAATTACTATCTTTCAACAGACTTAATGCTTTATATTTTCTTTTAGGGCACATCTGGCCAGGGTACAAATCATCAAACAGGATTCCTGCTTGAATAGGTGAATTCTATGAATGTGTATTATTTTTCTATTTTAGAAAGCATGACATAAATTATTTTTGAAATCTGGTGGGTTTTTTGATAAAACTGACCTGGCAAAGTTAGTATCCAACAGAAAAACTTTACATGGGATTAGAGATTTTTATCACTTCAAAATTAGTCATATAAATAAAAAAATTAGTCATATAAATTAACTCAGTTTTAAAAAGCAATTCTCAAGAATTGCTCATGCTTATTTTTCTTAAAAATGATAAGAAAAGAATAGTGTTACATTTTTCAATTTATATCAAAATTAATAATTGTTTGAATAAATTATATGTTTTTATACATGTATATGACACTAAAATGCAAACTTAAACCAATGAACCACCAGTAAAAATTTATAAGATAAACCTACCTGTGTCCATATCTGCAGTCAAAATTTCTATTTCTTCTATAAGACAGAAAGTTCCAATATTTAAAGTTATGTTTCTAAAGATAATTAAATTATTAAAAACACTTTGGTAATAATAATTTTTTCTTAGAATGTGTCATTTCCTGCTTTTTTTCTTTTGGAGTGCTTGGAATTGAACCCAAGGCATTCACACTGAGTTATAACACCACTCTTTTTTTATTTTTCATTTTGCCACAGAGTCTCCTTAGATTGCTAACTCATCTAAACTAGGTTGGAAAGTGAGCTGCTGCCTCAGCCTTCCAGAGTGCTGAAATTACAGGCATGCTCCAGGCATGCTTCAACACACTCAGGTTGTTTTACATAGTCCTTTCCTTTTGAAAGAACTGTATAAAACCCCCAAAACATCATCTGATTTCATTTCTATAGCTGAGTAATTGAAAAGGCTCAAGAGAACTCTGTAGAAATTCTTGCTGGCCCAAACCAGAGACGTCTCCTGGTACAAGTGAGTGGCAAGAATCACGGTGCTGCGGTGTCCAGTGGTTAGAGCTGTCAATACACATAAGTCAGAGCTGCTCTTTCAGCTGTGCACTCCTGGGTCTTTCCCTGAGGTTGGGAGCCATCGTTGACACTGACCAACAGAGCCTAGAGCTAACATGGAGAAAGCTACTTTCACAGTACGTGAGCAACAGCTCTTCAGGTCGTGCCTACACAGTATCTCCCTGGCTTCAGTACCAGGTATGGCTAATGTTAGGCATCTAGGATGCAGAAGTCAAGGAAAGAACAAAGCCTCCTTTCCTCCCTTAGAGCCCATGGGACTTCTTTCCCTCTTCGGTCTGCCATCCTAGAGCATTGCCCCAGAAAGGGCCATAATTTCTTGGATCTGGGGACTTGCGGGAAGATCCCTGCCAACCACGCTGCTCAGCTTTGCCCACAGACCAGGCTGGGGACAGCAGAACCTAGAAAGGCAACGTCACTGTGCGGCTGCAATTGCAAGTTTGTTCCTGGATTTCCCAAGTTCTCTTTGGGACAGTGCACAGGAGTATGTTACGCCACACACCTTAGTTGCTCTCTGGGATGGGAGAGACTGTTCAGGAGCATTCACGGAAGCACTTTCCTGTGTCAGAGATGCAAAGGGAAGTACAGGGAGCCCAGTGCAGCTGAGATGCGCTGGTGCCAGAACACAGCACAAATCTTCAGAAGCAAAAGGCATGAGGAAGACAGTTGATGTCCTAGTTATACAAAAACTGAGGACATCTGTTGCAAAACAACAACCTCACCATTGGTAAATAGGTAGATGGGGAGAAAATCGAAGGAAGTACTTGGAATGTGTAAAACTGACAAGGAATTCATATCTACAAGACAATAAGAAAGAAACCTGCTGTGAAAGAAATCTGAAATTAAGAAAATAATATGAGGGCCAGGGATATAGCTCAGTAGCACAGTGCCTGCCTGGCAAGTGTGAGGTCCAGAGTTTAAGTCCTGGTACCAAAAGAAAAAAAAAATATGAACTGGTGAAATAAATTTGAATAGTGAGTGGACAGGAAAACAAGAGGAAACTAGAAAAGCTAATGCAGCTCTAAAGTCTGCAACCCAAATCTTTGGTTATTACCAAAAAATCAAGTTAGTGAGCACTACCATCATGTGCAAGTTGGAGCTGAGCAAAATCAGGAAGCCATGCTATGCTAGGTGTTGGTGAGGTTAGGAGAACTCTCAGGCATTACTAGTGGAGATGAAGACTGGTGCTTAACAGCTCTGCCAAAGAACATACAAGCACTAGTAACCAATTCAGGAGACACGTACCTGAAAGTTCAATTCTCCACTGCAAAGCTGAGTGGAGGTTCTTAACTTCCACTCAAAGAGGTTGTCTCACACATCTAAGGGAGACAGTATTCATCCTAGTGTGATTGTGGATTGAGTCCATTGCAGAGAAAGCGGAGAGGGTAAATTGTGAAAGACAAACACAGTGGAGTATTTTATACAGTAGTTAGGAGCCCCAGAGTGGATGAACACACAGCAACTTTGAAAAAAAAAAACTTTTAAAGTATATTGCTTTTGAAAAAGAAAAAAGGAAAATGAGCTCCATGATAGTGCTATGTGAATTAAACATGTGTGCCTGCACAATACCAGTGCATATTGGAGAAGAGGGCATACAAGCAAAATGACACACCTTTTGACTCACACAAAGAGGGACGCAATGTGGGAGAGGAATGAGAAGAAGGCTAGGGAGGAAGAAGAGGCAAGGAAGGAGAGGAGCAGGATGAAGTACAATGACCCAAGGATTATCAGTCACTCATCCCTTTGGTGCTCAAGTCTGAACTGGATCAAAGAAGGAAGGAAAGGAGGGAGAGAAGAAAGAAGGAAAAGAATACATGGGGGTGAGAAGGGATGGCTGTTTCAGTGAACAAAATGAAAAATGAGAGGAAGTACAAAAAATTGAGACTTGACATTTAGGGCAAGGGGTGATCTTGAGCTAGTTAGTCCCCCAGGAAGCCTAAGTTCTGATGAGGACCGTGAGCTTTGGGCAGTGCGTGGGCTGGGGACTTGAGTCATTTTTTACGAATAACTAAGAAAAGGGTGGCCCTGAACAGCTGGAGATTTGGGGACCCTGCTGATGCAAGTAAATAAGAAAACATGTTATATTTCCACTGGTGGCAAATTCCTCAGGAGCTGCCTTGGTTTTGGGAAGAAATCAAAGAGGGAGGTGTTTAGCTAAAGTAAACCATGCAGGAAAGTGTACGCCTTGGTTTTTGGTCACTAGGCTGTGGATAGGGATGTGAGGTTGGAAATTTATCACACTGGAGAAAGCCTCTGTGCCCAAACTGTTCTGAACCTGCAGTGACTGCCCATACACACCATGCAGATTCCATGCTCAGTATTAGTCATATGAAAATACAAGAACACACGCTGGGGATATAGCTCAGTGGCCTAAGCGCCTGCCTGGAAAGTGCAAGGTCCTGAGTTTGATTCCCGGTACCAAAAAAAAAAATTTAAAAAAAGACGAAAATATAAGAACACAATAGGTCATTAGTTTTGCTTCAGTTTCTCTATATCCTAAAATGTTAATAAAATTTTTACCTTGCAACTCACATGCAAGGCAATTTAAAAATTTTTAGTTAAGGTAAAGAAGCGCTACACCATATTGTTATACATATATCATAAAAACTGAAGCACCTTGTTTTCATCTATAATATTTTCTATGATAAAAATATATTTACCTTGAACCTCAGGGTGTGCAGCTCCTAAAAGGAAAAGAAAACTCAATAGCGCAAAGAGATAATTTTTGCTTAAATAAAATATACATGAGTTATTGTTTCAGAAACAGCATAATGACTTAAAATTCATATTTACAAAAAGACAGAAGGAAACTATAACTGTATGCCAACTTTGGATTTTGTTAGCACATACAAAATTTTTATCTTGCCTTTGAAAACATACTGGATTTACCACTGCAATGGAATCCTTTTAAGTTAAGTTTTAAAAAGAGACTACTAGTATTTTAGACATATTTGAACATATAGGAACAGCAACCTTACTACATACTTTTATAAAATATATAATTACTCTTAAATAATAAAAAGGCTTATAAAAGATAAATGCAATCAAGATATAATCCAAACCTCCCTTGATTTAGTAATCCTGACTTGGCCACTTAAAGTAGATGCCAATAAATACATTAATTTTATATCTCTGCTGTCTGACTTAGCCTTTCTTGGAGGGGGAGAATTAGGACCATTACTGAAATGTAAAAGGCAGAACTCAACCTAAGAAGGGTGGACTAACATAGCAATGACCATTGACGAAGCATATTTCCATATGAAACTAAGCTTTTTATGTTGTAGCAGAGTTTCTATTGTCCAATAGACTAAGAAGTTGTGTTCCTTAACCTTAAGCTTTAGAGTTTTAAATGAATGGATAGAGAAGGGGTAGAAGAACACAAGTAAAGAAGCCCAAAATATTATTACATTGAAGTAGCCAGATCCACCGTAGAGGTTTTATGGCCCTTCTTCCTAAAAATGTTTTATTTCTTCCTCTCTTTACTAGGGATTGTACTTGATTGAATAAACATAAAGGTATTTTTCTCAAGTGCTCATAGATCTTTAAGATAAATTGCTGTAGGCAGTTGAGCTAGATAGGAATATTATAGGCAGTCAGATAGGGCTAGGCCCTTGAAGGAGCCAGTGCAGAAGACAAGATACCTTGGAACTGCAGGAGAGACAGACACTTCCCCTGTGGGCCAGACCTCAAGGCAAAAGATTAAACAAATGCATTCACAAACCTCCCTAGGCATGGACATCAGGGACTGATATTCTAAATAGGTAGCAAGCATCTTGAAAAAGCCAGGAAGAGTCACTAACCCAATCCACTTCAGGAAAAGCCCCTGTTCTGTATACACGTCTGCTTGCTACTCGCTTCCCCATTTGATTCCGATTTCATCAATTTTACCCTGAGCATTTGTACTCGTAATCTTATTGGTTGACTATAGTTTTGTCCCACCTCATGCCTACCTTGTGATTTCCCATTTTTTCCCACCTTGGACTCACCTTGCATCATGAATTTGCTCTATAAAAATCCCTAGAAAGGCAGGTTCAACCCATTTGGGTCCCCTTCTGTCTCCACGTGTCTCTCTCTCCCTCCCTTCCTCCCTCCATCTCTCTCTCTCTCTCTCTCAGACAGAAGCTTTCTTTTGCCCAATAAATATATTCTACTCTTAACCTCCATTGTTCCTAAAATTCATTCTTCAATTTTAGAGAACATGAACTCATCCCAGATAAATTTCAGGTTGGGTGTTTCTTTCCCCTATATCAAAATGATATGATTTGAAATCCAGAAAAGTGTATTATTTGGTTTAAGAACTGGTATCAGTGGAAAATTAAGCAAAGTTTCAGTTAATGCTGGATGTGCCAAACAATGCCAAAATAGAATCCTATCGATTCACTCTTCACACATATTGTCAGTGTCCACTGAGTGGGCTGCATTTGTCCTGGGATATTTGGGTTATGAAAATGATTAGGTTCTGTTTTCAAAGTTTTTACTGCCTAGAAGGAAAAGATGAGAGAACTACAAGAGCGATGGTAAGCAGTGGAGAGTAACCGAGCTGTTTGCTGCAGCTGCCTCCTACCTGTTCGTAAGAGCCCATCCTGGGAGGTCCTGGACCTGGTGGTGGCATGGATGCGTCTATCATGTGACTCTGTGAGCAAGAAGAGCCGAGTGAGAAAGGAGGCACTGCAGAGAGGGGGGAATGTGTTGAACGTGTATTTCTTAAAAAAATTTGTTACAGTAAAATACACATAGCCATGAATCCCCTCCAAATGCTCCCCATCTTTGCACACTTAGCCCATCACTCTTGCCACTTTCTGAAACAGCTTTGCAAGTCCTGTTCAGTGTCTTTATCAGGTGTGATTAAAAAAATATGGCAAATGCTGCTGAACGCCATCCAACAGCAAAACAGCTTCATAAAAATGTGACGCTGTGTCCCCCCCCCCACCTTAGTCATGGGATCTGGCACCTTGTGACTCCTGGCTCCCCTCCAAAGTCAAAATGACCATGGAAGGTCAATGTTTGGAATCCACTCAGGACACTGAGGCAGCCAGAACAGTGTAACTAAAGACACTTTGGAAAGAGGACTCCAGAGCTGCTGCAGAGGGTGTCAAGAATAATGGGATGAGTGTATTCAAAGCAAGTATTGGTGGTGGTGGTGGTAGGGGTGCTTCATGGCAATATGTATCCTACTGTCATAAATTTTTTGAAAAACTTAAACATTCACTGCATTTTTCTATCATACCATACATATTTTGAAGAAGGAAGAGGGAAAGAGCTCTGGGAATCAAGAAAGAGTGACAGGAAGCCTAAAAAGCACAGAGAAACCCTCAATTCAGAGACAATCACAGAGCAGTCGCATGGCCAGCCCCAGCTGTGAGGTGGACCACACTCCACACATACAGGGTAGCAGGGAGGCCACTGGCCTGGTGACAACTGAAGGACAGAAGCCAGAAGCATGGAGAAAGCCACAGATTAGGTGAGCTGCGACCCTGGAGCAAGGACTGAATTGAGATGAGTCTCCCTGGGGCAGATGGCCTTGGGGGAGAGCTCTGGAGGGCGGCTGGGTGCTGGGGCCAGGCCACGCAGAGGACTGAGGGCCCACACAGCTCGGGGACCTGGTGACTGGGAGGACGGAAGCAGCAGGGACCACAGTGGAGGGCGTTGTTTGGAGACCTGAGACAGCTCAGCTGTGGGGTTTGGGCGTGGAGGGCACAGTGGGCAGCAGTACTTGCCCAGATGGTTTCCCAGGGGCTGGGGTGACAGCGGACAGCACCTGCTGACGGTGCCCCTGCAAGCATTGCCGTCGGAGTGGACATCTGCCACTGCCAGGGGATGTGTCAGGGTCATGAGCAGGAGAGTCCTGGCCCAGGATGGAGGGACAGAAAGGAGGGGTGGGTGGTGCAGGACACTTCTGCTGGGAAGTAGGATGCAGTCTCCAAGGGGCCCCTCCCTCCCTGTACCTGGTGATTTCCAATATCACAGGTCCTGGAAAGAAAGAATCTTTGCCAATCCATACTCCTGGGTGTGTAGGAAATTGCAGACACACTTTTCATTTTCTTTTATTCATTTCTTTTTAAGATT